CAAGATGTTCTTTAATATAGGTTTTTGACTGAATTGTAAATTGTTTTAAGGAATTGACATTTACTGGGAAACTCTTGGGGGCCAATCACTGTGGTTTGCATATGCTTTTAATTTAACATCCAGAAATGTACTAATAATTTGCAAATAAATCTGTGTCTCAGAGCAATTATGCAACATGTCCAAATTTACACAGCTCATATAGGTGTTATCTGGAAAAGCCAGTGGGATGGGGAAGTTGGTTGAAGATCATTATTACCCTTTGAATTTTCACTGTGCTGGAGACAGTTGACTAAAATTTTGGTGTAAAGAACAATCTTTAACCAATATTTCCTATCATAAAATTTTAAATTAATATCTATATATTAAAATGCATTTCTAAATGTTAAAATATATTTTAAACATCAAACCAAATGTTGGCTCTTTTCTGGTACAAAAGCTTGATTTTATTGTTTTGCCTCCTTAATGATTTTCAGTGTAACAAATAACATCCCAATGAGCAAAGGGTAATGCTATTTTTAGTCTTGATTCCTTAAGTTTATTGCTCAGAGAAAGCCATGAGCTGAAGACTCGATTAATTATAACTATTTCTCTTACTTAAGGATGTCTTGGTTCATTTGAAACCTGCCAGTGACCCTTTGTGTCTCCACTGTACAGGTTTGCCTTGCCTTTGACTCTTCGTTGTCTCTACACATTATATGACAATCATTCTAGGGGAAAAACAAACACATTAATGCCATCCTTGGTATCATATGAATTGAATTATTATTAAAGTTCTCAGAAGGAAGCAGCCGATTTCAACAAATCATGTCAGGCACATGTCTAAAATTTCCAGTGATAATGATGGTATATTGAACTACAGTGGTCACACTTGGAGACCTTTCAGAGGAATTTTGTGATGTGTAGAAAGATTTAATGTGTTTCACTAGTTTTTAGTTGAAGTCATATTTGCTAAAGGCATAAAAAGAGTGAAAAATTTAAAAAAAGTTTATATCATCTTACAGGCTGAACAACTCAGTTCTGTCTGGCAACAATAAAATGCTAGCACCTGGGCTAGGTTAATTATCAAAGTCAATAATCTAAAATGATGATGTAGTATATATTATGTTAGAGCTCTAGTCAATCATTAACACCACAAATAGGTATCAGCTCTATGAAATCAAATATATAAGTAATTGAGTAGATTTTGTTCATTTTAATTTAAATTTCTGATGTTACTGTATGTATAATGATTATCACATGTTTCTGGAGTGCCAGTAGGTGTTAAATCAAACTCTGCAATGTATGCCTTAACAAATTGAAAGATGCATTTTTTCATTAAGGGATACTGGCAAAGACTGATGGTGGTTGTAGGAGTACATAATATGGAAAAGTCGGAAGGTAACCTAAAATAATTCAAAGAATAGCATCCACATTCATTAAACATTAATAGAATCAAAGCACTGCCACAGATAACATGAGATACCAAAATTGCATATCTATCACCAAGTGGAACATCAATTTAAAGAGATGATTCAGATCAAGGTCTCCATTTTATATTCATACTATGTAATTGCCTTTGTGGCTTAGGGAACGAGTGAAAAAAACATGGCTAAAACCTCACAGATCCCCCAAAATAAATTTACATATTATACATTTGTTTCTGCTGATTAATTCATGTGACAACATAAAATTTTAAATGTACATAAACAAGTTTTTGCAAAAATATTTTATCTCCAATTATCCACACTCCATCTAATGGAAATTACATGTTTACCTCCATAATTTTATTTAAATGTATAAGAAATGCATTAAAAATAAAAGCAGATATTTTCATTTAAATTATAACTGTTCTCAGAGAATGTGTACTATAAAAATTCTTCTAAACAGAACTGTTTAGTTTTCTTTTCAACACATTTTTACATCACCAGCATACACGAAGAAACCCAGAATTTCAAACAATAGCACATAACACTGTTCACATTATTTACCAACAAATATAAAAATTGCTGATGGAAAAATACTAGAAAAAGCATATATATTATCAGTATGTGCTAATAATATAATGTAAAGTTGGCCAGTTTTTTAAATGCATAATACAATAGTAGAGCATTTATTCATTCCTAAATAAAGCCAAAATAGTACATTAGGCATTTTGAGTCATAAGGAACGGACAATAGCTAAGTAACCTGTTAGGCATTTATTATATAAACACAAAACCCAAACGTTTATTTGGGCTTTGGAGGACTGAAACAATAGTTGGAACTAGTCCAGTTACTATGGAGACTCTTGTGATCCATAAGAAGTACTGGACACTGATATGCCATCCTATAGAAGCTAGCTTTTGTTTCTGCCCCCAATCTATTGATTTCACCATAATGACAACTGAGCTCTTTACTATTTTTAACCCCACTGTCTGTGCCTCTAATACAGTCTCTGATTCTCCTTCTCGCTCCTGAAATCGAAATGTAACAAAAATGAGAGTATGAATGAATATCATTAGTCATCACCCCATCAGGAGCAGTTCTCAAGCCAAGTCACTTCATATCTAGCCTACATAGAGAAGGGTTGGGCTGTAGGGTTGGGTCAATCAATGGCTTGCATGAAAACGAAAGCATATGATAAAATGATAGGTGAATTACAAAGAAGAAGCTGCTGTGGTCACATTATTCAGATGGGAGCATAGCCCCCTAGGATACTTAGTGTGTCATGAACTTATCTCCTGTAAAACTGTGCAAAAATTATATATTAAATAGATTGTAAAAATGACTAAAGAAGTGCAACTTTTTAATGGGATTTCAGTCTCAAACCATTATTTGTATGTATTTAAGTAGGATCTTATTTAAACTGCCCTCATAAGTGTTTGGGTTTTTCTTCCTAGTTAGGTTTACAATATTTCCCCCGCCAAAACATTCAGCCTTTGATCTATCATGGGTCATAAAACAACTCTTGAAAATATGTAGTCAACCTAACTCACTACTTCTCCTTAAAGGGTCATGTACTACTTTACCAAGGAGAGTTTATTTGTCTATCTATCTATCTATCAATCAATCAATCAATCATCTATCAACTGTATCTATATATAAACATATATACATTTAATATTACAGAAATATAGATCATGTGTCATAGATATTAAATAGTGGGAAAAAATCAAGTTTTTACAAAAGATGGGAAAATTCTAGAAGGCATAACCTAGGCACTTCATAGAACATAAAAGCAATTATTTGGATAATTGAATCAGTTGTCTTAATCTTTTTTAAATGTGAGATTCTTTATTTGTTTATTTAAATACTATTACTGAATTGAAAATTCATGTTTTACATCTAAGAAACCAAAGATTTTTGTAAGCAACATTTTTCTCGCAGTTAAAAAATAATCCCTTTTTAAGGTATAATACATCATAAAATTCTTTAAATTAAGAAACTTTTCATGTTCCTAGATAAACATTCTTGGTTAGCAAGTAACAAATGTCATGTTTCTATTAAGAAAATATACCTTTATGAGTTGTTGCCTTGCATTGTATGTTTATTTCATGTCCATTGCCCTCACTAAACTAAGTTTTTCACACTCTGAGTAATATTTTTAATCTCTATACCACCAGTGACTATAATACTTACTTAATACATGCTACTTTCTTAATTTACTTGCTATGAAAAATAAATGACTTCAATAATAAGCAGAATTACACACATTTAGAGTTATTAGATTTCATCTTTGCATTAAGTCAAAGACTACAGGTGACCTTTAAAAAAGCAATTGATGGGTGAAGGGAAGTTGCTGAAAGTAACATGGACCTTCAAGAAATCCTTCATGAAAGGAAGAATGAAGAGATAGTTGACTTAGTGCAAGATTGACAAGAAGACTTTAATTGTTTGAGGAGAATGAAAATGAAATCTGTGTTTATAGAACAGAATGAGCAGGTAAAGCAGGAGAATTATTTGAAGAGTTGAGAAAAATAGGAGCTATCCTTTTCAGAAAAGATAAATAAATCTAGCAGGAGGCAAAAGAGAAAGGATCAAGAGGAAAACAGGACACAAGAAGGAATTCTTCCTTAAGATGAAATTGATGGTAATAAGAATATACTCTGAATAAATGCATTCAGTTAGGCCACTGAATACAATATTATGCAATTATTCTATCTTATTTCATTATTTAATAGGAAAAAGAAGAATTAAAACATTATTTTAAAATTATTTATTGTCTCTGACAATCACCAAATTCTTAGTTCATTTTGTGTGTGTGTGTGTGTGTGTATGTGTATATATATATACACACACAATATTTTCTGGAAAAATATTACATAAATGGTGAGCTTTCATATGCAATTTTAAAAATCAGTGAACATGACAGCTAATACAGTTAAAATTAGATATTATGAGCCTTTTCTATAAGATCATTTAAGCATGAAAGCTTCTGTGTCAGCAGCTTACTCATGCGGTTATATAAATGAATAGGCTGGAAAACAGAAATAGCTTGCTTCATACACAATTTTAGTTTCCCTTTTTCTTAATAGATCTTGGTTTAGACAAGACAACCAAGCAAATAAAAAACATTTCAGCATAAATTATCCAGAAATATATTTATAAATACACAAAGATACACAAACACACACACATACATACACATACGTCATTACAATTTTGAAGATTCTGTTTTCCAAAAACAGGAAAGCCTCCGACACTAGGCAAATAGGCCATGGTTGATTCATTCTAGTAAAACTCTATATTCACTCGTGGCTTTCACTGGGAAGCTCATGCAAAAAGCTGTGTCTGAAATATTACAGTGAAAAGCCCACACCACGCTGAAGAGAAGCAGTAAAAACCCTACTCCAATGTGGAGACGAAGCATCCAACCAAAAACAGCATTTAGTCCCAACTACCTTTGAAACCTCTGAGTGGGTCCACCACAGCTACCGAGCTCAGATTTTTCAGAGATATTTTATCCAGCTCGTTTTTTTCACCTACACTTGCATTCAAAGCTAACTGCACAAAGAGTAAGAATAACCCTGAGTTCCTACTCACACTGTATAGCCAGCCATTAGCATCACAAGGCCTGATGCAGTTTCTGCCTCCTGAACTTAGACATGAGCACAGGAGAGACACAGCAGGGCTCCTGCACAATGGTGCTATGAGCCGTCAGTGTAGGATGTGAACAACAGTTACCAAGGGACTACCAAGGCATGCCATTCGTTCAGCCACACGTCATAGAGACTCTTGGGAAGGATTCCTTTAGCAGCAGCCGGCTGTTGCCTCTTGGCACTGGGAGTGATATTGTCGGAGGAGGTAATGATTGTTAGACTGTGTGGGGCTGACAGCCAACATGTACCGATGCACATGAAGAGGCCCACGTGATCTTCTGTACAAGGTTGCATGTTGGGACCAGTCTCTGTGTTGAAGAATCTGAAAGGACTTATGTGTCCTGTAGCCAATATCAGACAAGCAATTAATTTTAGCTGGATCTAACTGTGAACAACTCTCTGCATTTACAGACATATGTTCAACAGTTCTATCATCAATTTGTGAAACTAATAACTAAACTGATAACTAAATCCAGGGTTTTGACTCAGAGTTCCTGACTCCCAGGAAAGCTTCCTATGCTAGAAGACGATACTCTTACGGGCCTAGAGTGTCACTAACTGACTGCAAGGCCCTCAAGCATATTTATGCACAGTGAACTTGCTAAAATTTAGGAAATGTGTATCTTGTCATATTATGATTTATTCTGTTTATGGTATTTAACAGAACTTCAATTTAGAATGCAAATTATTGCTATTTGCTTTAAATCTTTTAAAGAAAAAATAAAGATTGGCTTTTTATTTTTAAAGAGAAACCTTTTGTCATATATGTAACATATATATGTAGCTATAATCATTATACAATTTCACCTAATTTGGTTACAAATGCCACTCAACTAGAGAGTGATATAAGTTATATGACTTTACTTGTTAAGAAAAAAATGGAACAAGAGAGGCTAATCATAGATTATGCAGACCTTCTTAGTTGCATTCTGCTCTATCTTATAACATATTTTTATTTAACCTCAGAACTTGTTCATTTTATAATATTTAGGCAGAGATATTATTTGCTATATCTATGCATAATTGTGAAATTATAATTAATTTGAGAGTTTTTTACTATTATTCCATTCACTTTCTTATTTGATAGTATTGACCAAAATGATGATGATAATGATTCTACAATGTCTCCAGGACAATATAATGTCATAGCAGAGATTCAGAAAAATGAATTTTCTTAAACAGTTTATGCAAAATATAAGTGATAATGATAAATAATAAATACTGTCAGTGGTATCCAGAATGGCAAGACAGGAAAGGCTTGACCCAGGGTGCATATGTCTTCAACTGGCACAAAATGATTTGTCTAATTTTGTTGGAGATACAGAATGTGTAGCATTATAAGCTGAAAAATAAAGCTCACTTATCTCACACAGAGACTTTTACATCTGTCTACTTTAAACAAGTATCTGTGAAATTTTACAAGGTGATCACCCAATAACTCATGATATTCATTAAAATTATACAGGATTCTACATAATAAAAAAAATAATTTTTAAATAAAAACATTATTATTGTTTTGTACTTGCAAAATGATAAATGAATCCTTTCATAGCCATAATAGAAATTACTAGGACATTTCCCACAGTGGTAAAAAAAAAAAAAAAAAAAAGATTTATTTATCCCACTTAAATTTCCTTCTTTGCACATTATAATGCTTTATTTTTTTGAGACAGATCTGTATCTTCCCAAAATCTTGAGTGAAGAAAGTATATAATATTTGTGAAGAATATTACTAGAAAGAAGTAAAGGGATGTTTTAATGCTCTATGTCATGCAAATATCACATCTTAAAGAACCTGTGACACTCTCCTTGAGCACTCATGCTCTGCACAGGGTTTGGAGATAAACCCATTTAGAATGTCATATTTGGTCAAAAGTAAAGTAAGAAGCAAATAAAATATTCTAATACAATGTCAGAACAAACATATGGATGTATAGAAAAGAAACTGTCAAATGAGTAGTGGGATAAAGAAAATTTCACAAAAATATTACCTAAATGAGATCTTGAGGACTTACTTTCCAGATCTCTTTTAGGAAACTGAAGTCGATGAGCCAAAATTAAATCTCCTTAGTAGTGTACTTTCAAAAATAGCAAAACTGACCTGCTACTACCAGGGCATTAGGTTCCCATACATGTTCCAGGAATGGCAAATTTTTGCACCAACTTATTTACTATTTTTGTCCCTATTATACTCTGTAATTTCACACTGTAAGACTCCAGTTTGCAGCTTATAGCAATGGGCAACAATAGAAAAACTCTGTCTTTTTAAATCGCAATTTTTATTTTCCTCAGCACACTGAAGCCCATCTCCAGCCAAACAAGGCCATCTTTGTGTTAAGATTTTACACTGCCAGGAATATTACAAGCCCTAAACCTTGACAGGCTCCTATGACCCAATTTTTGAGCCTGATATAATGATCTGCTTCTAGAGATTTCTGATGACTAACTTCCCCAAATCATACACATTTAATTGCCTATTCCGTGGCTCATCCTTTTCTGTGAAGGTGTTTTGGAATTTAAAAATAATTTTAAACAGAAAAGTTACAGAGGTAGACACAGAACGTTCTCTACACTTGTATTGGCTTCCTAGCCAAGATTAGTGGCTTTCAACAAGAAAAACTTATTATTTTACAATATCTTAGTCTTCTGGAGGCCAGAAGTCTAAAAATGGGTCCACAGGCCTGCGTTTCTTCTGGAGTTCTGTATTTCCCGGTTCAGGACTCCATCCTCCACCCCCGAAGCCAGCAACATAGCATGTTCTCTCCTCTCCAATGCCTGTTTCTGTCCCTACATCTTTTCTGCCTGACTCTGACCCTCCTACCTCCCTCTTACTAGGATCCCTGTGATTACATTGGGCCCACTGGATAATCCAGGAGAATCTCCATCTATAGCTCAAAATCTTTAGCTAAATTACAATTATAACTTTCTTTTTTCTTTTTTTTTTTTTTTTTTTTGGCATGAAAACAACATATTAACAGGTTCTGAGGATTAGGATATGGACATTTTGAAGAGAGTCATTATTTTTCCCACCACAATCCTGTACCAGGTTCACTAATTTTTTACCTTTTGCCCTATTTTCTTTATAAGCCTCATTCTCACTCAGTCTTGCCTCACCCTCTGTCTCCCCCGTGATATACATTAACAGCTATCAGAACATTTACCAAATTTACCTTATAATACTCCAGGGTGTTTCATAAGAACTAGGATATGGCCGGGTATAGTGGCTCACGCCTGTAATCCCAGCACTATGGGAGGCCGCGGCAGGTGGATCACAAGGTCAGGAGTTTGAGACTAGCCTGAGCCAACAGGTGAAACCCTATCTCTACTAAAAATACAAAAATTAGCCAGGTGTGGCGCCATGTGCTTGTAATCCCAGCTACTACAGAGGCTGAGGCAGGAGAATTGCTTGAACCTGGGAGACAGAGGTTGCAGTGAGCTGAGATCACACCACTGTGCTCTAGCCTGGACAACAGAGCAATACTCCATCTCAAAAAGAAAAGAAAAGAAAAAAAGAACTGGAATACATAACCACAGTACAATTAAAATATTCAGAAAATGTAACATTGACATAAGACTTTGTAGTCCATATTCCAGTTTGTTCAATTATTCTCATAATGATTTGTTATGGAACTTGTCTCCCTCTGGTATAGAATTATGCATTGTATTTTGTTGTCTTGTCTCTTCAGTATCCTTTAATTGGGAATGAATTCTCAGCTAATCTTTGTCTCTTACACTATTGAGGAACAGAGACCATTTATTTAATGGACCATGCATCGCTTTGAATTTTTTCTGAGGTTTCCTCACATTTCGATTCATGTTAGGCATCCACAGACAGAAAACTACAAAACTGATCTCTCCTCAGTGTCATATACAGAGGAACAAAATGTTCTCGTGCCCTTCATTCATGACATTATCATTGTTATCAGAATTTTTAGCATATTATTTATACACAGTCATATTCACAACATTCAAATGTGAAATCTGATCAGTTTTGGCAAACGTATACAACTGTGTAAACCATCACCAAAATCAAGACACAGAATGCCTCCAGCACCCTCCAAAATGGTCTCCTACTCCTTCCTCAGCAGACAATTATCTCCCCTATCCCTTGCCCCTGACAACATTACAACCATTCATTTGCTTTCTCTCACTATAGTTTGTATTTTCCAGAATGTCACAGAAATGAAATCATGTAGTATATGAACATTTGATCCTGGATTCTATCACTTAGCATAATGTTCTTGAGATCTATTCATATTTCTGCATCTAGTAGTGGTTTTGTTGTTGTTTTGCTCAGCAGTATCCTGTCTTATTGATATGAAACCATTTATTTATTCATTAGCCAGTTAAACATTGAATTTCTTACATATTTTGGTTATTTTAAATAAAGCTGCTATGAACATTCAAGTGCAAATCTTTGTGTGGCAGTGTTTGCTCATTTCTGTAGGGCAAATACCTAACAGTGGAATTTCTGGTAAGTGAATATTTGCCTTTATCAGAAAATGCCAAATGGCTTCCCAAACCAAATATAACAGTTTGCATTTCTACTAACTAGGTATATGTGTATGACAGTGCTAGTTTTTCTAATCTTCAGCAGCAATTGATATTGATAATGTCAACTTTCTTAAATTTTAACCAAGCGAATGAGTACACAATGGTATCTTATTGTGGTTTTCACGTTCATTTCCCTTATGATTAAAAATGTTAAACATCTTTTTATGTGATTATTTAATATCCATTCATCTATCTTCTTTGATGACATGATTGTTCAAATATATTACATGTTATTTTAAATACAGCTGTTCGTCTTTTTTAAATTAAGCTGAAAAAAAATTTTATTCAATCTGGATATACCTCCTTTATCAGACACATTTTGCAAATACTTTCATACTGACATATGCTAAAATATGTCAGATACTAAGGTCTGGGTTCTGTCTTTTAATTTTTCAATGGTATGTTTTGAAGAGCAAAGTTGTTCACTTTGATGAAGTCTGGTATTTGTGTTTGTGTGCGTGACCATTTGTAAT